CAAGTTAAATATACTCAAAAGTAACAGAATTAGCCATTAAAGAAAAGAAACAATCATAATAAAGAGACTCAAAATTCACTAGGGACTGAATTGCAAAAATTGAAAAAAATTTTAGGGTAAAAATATAAATTTTCAAAGCTTAGGGTCAAAATTAAATAAAAGATAAAATTCAGGGGACCAAAGTGCAATTAATTTAAGGACCTTAGTGAAAGAAATTTAAAATGTTCTGGGCTACAATAAAATTATTCCAAAAATTAGGGGCTAAAGTGCAAATCCATTTCTGGTCTCTTAGGAAACAAGGCCACTGGGCCATCATTTTATTTATTTGGGCTGAACACTACCTAAGCCCAGCCGAAAGTCCAAGACAAAACACACAGGCCAACCCGTCTTTTATCACTCAAACCCAACCAAAATAAAGCATGGGTCTAACCTTCTAGCCCAACCGCAAATAAGAAACAAGGCCACCAAAAAAAATAAAAATTAGCCCAACCCATTTTCCTTTTCTTTTCTTTCCTTTCTTTTCTTTTTCTTTTCTTCCCTTCCGTTTCTTCTTCTTCATGTTCGGCCAGCTGAAGCTCCTCGCAACTGATGGCGCCCGCAAATTTTTTCCAGTCACCAAATTTTCTCAAAATACACCCCTCACTTAATTTTTCGCATAGATTCCATTTTTTGGCTTAGTTTTTGCAAAAAATGAACCAAAAGTGTCCAAAATGTCAAAAAAAAAGTCCAATTTTTTTTTATATTTTTAAACCCTCAAATCTTCACCAAAAAACATAAAATTTCTACTACAATACTCCTTGTGATTTTTACAACATAACTATGAACTAAAATCAATAAAACCAACAACAAATATGACAAAATTAAACCAAAATAGTCCAAAAATAAAAAAATCTTTCAAAAACTTTTAACACTCAAAACCCCAAATTTTTTGAATAACCACATATTTTCGAACCTACACTGTCAAATGGTCATCCATTTTGACAAAAAAAAAAAAATGCACAATGTTCAGCTTTTATTTCGTTTTCCATTTTGGCGTTTTATCAAACATGTAACATGCATATACAAAAATCCTCTTTTCCTCTTCATGTCACTCGTGACTTACCCCAAAATTCAGCAACCTAACAACATAACGATAACAAAAACCAGCAAGAAAAAGAAACAAAACTAATGTCTAGACATGATTAGGGTATAACGAATTAGAAAAGAAAAAGCTGGAAAAAGAAGAGAAAATGAAGGAAGATACCTCAATGAGAGTTATGGTCCTTTGGCTAGAGTTTGTGTCATGATCAAGCGCTTATCATTGCACCAAAAGCTATAACTATTAGCAAAGGCACAACTTTATTTCCTTAACCACAATGGCAGCGCAATGCACCGTACCATGCTCGGCCAACATGAGGGGCTGCACCCCTGGGTACCACGGGTTGGACGGTTAGTCCCTTCGAGTCGGGATCTGAGGGATGTTGCTAATTAGGCCAATAGTTTGGAGGAAATTCCAGGCTTTGATTGTCCAACCGGTAGCTGTCTCTTTGTTGTGTGAGTGCGTTGGGAGAAAAAGAGCCGAGAGGGAGAGAATGAGGTTTTTTTTTGTGTTAGTAAAATGAGAGGGAGGATTTTTGAGAGAGAGAGCCGAGAGAGGAGATTGAGGGAGATTGAGTGTGTGTTTGTGTCGTTGAGAGAAAACAGAGAGCCGAGAGCTTCTATTTTTGAGCTTCCAAAGTGGAGTTTGTTGTGTCTTGTTTTTTGTTCTTGTCTCTGGAGGTGTCTTGTGTATCTGGGAAAGGTTAAGTGTCGAGATACAGAAAAACCAATGGCCGACAGGGAGTCAAAATGGGTTTGGTTTCTTTCAAATGATGGCTTTTTGCTAAAATGAAAAGAAAGGTGAAAAAATTGAGTGTAGGAATGGGTTAAGTGTATTTGGTAGGGAAAATGATTAGAATGATTTTCATTTCTTGATTTTTTTTTCTTTTGTTTTGTGTTTGTTTTTTTTCCTTTTGTTTTTTTCCTTTTCCTAAAACAAACCTGTAAAAATGAGAAAAATGCACATTAAAATGCAAGAAAATAAATAACTCAATAGATAGAAAAAAAATTTGAGAAAACATTAAAAATTGACAAAAATTTGGTGTCTACAAACACTATTAATTAATTAATTAACTATTACTAATTGAACTAATTCAAATACTAATCAAATGTAAGAAACTAATAAACTAATACTAATCAAATACAATAAACTATTAGTATTTAAAATGACAATAGCTTGCCGAATGCGCTATCTGCTGTCCGTTTAACCCACTTGTACTTAGGAATTTATTATGACCCATTGTTTTGCCCGGCAGGCTATCATCTGAGTTCCAGCGACTCCGTGGGATGGCACATTGGATTGATATGTATAAGGAAATCACGATTCTTCGAGACGAAATAGAGGTCCAAATGAGACTAGCCGAGTACTGGGAAGGGCGATGAACGCACGAGTATTCGGAGAAAATTGAGCTCTTACACAAGAACTTAGAGCTAAAAAGGAAATGCAAGGGGATTTCTGAGGAGGCCTTAGCAATGGCACAAAGCACTACTTTTATGAGGGTTCCGGAGAAAGCTCCAAGGACAGAAATTGCAAGGCCGCAAGTGAAGACCTCCCATGCAAAGAAAAGGGGTATATCTCTTGAAAGACAAAGGCCAGAACGGGGTGAGCGTGGTAGGCCATTCGTAAAGATGGGTCGTGGAGCGGGTGGTGTGAAAATTTTGGAGATGCTTAGGGAAAATACTTCAGGAGGAAACCCGAGTGGAGAAGGATCACTGAGAGGTATCTCACAAGGAGATCAAACCTCAATCCCTTTCCTATTTTGTGCCTATTGTAGAAAAGCCAATCATATTGAAGTGGGTTGTTGGAAAAAAGGGGGGAAGATGTCTGCGCTGTGGGAGCGCCAAGCATCGGATTGCTAATTGTCCGGTTCAATTGCGTGAAAAGAAAGGAACCCAGCAACCAACCAAGACCAACTCTGGACCGTCAAATGGAGAAGGGACTGGAATGAAGATCCTCGGTTCTTCTGAGGATGTAGAAGGTACAAGCCATTGGTTACTTCAGATTTTGATAGATCCCGTTAATAGGAAAATTTCGAGGACGAAATTTCTTAAGGGGGAGAGAGTATGAGGACCCGTAAATCTTCCTTATTTCAAAGTATTGCCGGATATATAGATGGCTGAGTACCAACTTCAAATCCTAGAAGCCTGCTTTTGCTTTTTATGATCCACAAAAGAAATCAACGGGCAACAATGCACGATAATGTATACGAACTAACCAACTAAACAATGGTGGAAACACAATCTGTTCTTTTCTAGGCAGGATTTCTTCGAGACTTTCTCTGTTTGGGGAGGAAGAAATTGTGGAGACGATGAAGAAGAAAAGTGAAAGTATACAAATGGGGTTGTTCGAGTCCAATTGCTATTTTCGGTGATATATTTAAGGCCAAACTTGTACACGTTGATTGTATCGATACAATCCAACCGTTCATCTGGAATTAATCAACGGCTAAAAAAAAACTACAACTATCGATGGAGTGTATGTGCCGTTGATCATACGGTCCATAGAGTTTCATCGCATCTGTTAATGGATACGACTCTATCATAGGCTGCATGTGGCATCTGTAATTTTTTTTTTTTGAAAAAAATTGTTCACACCTTTGATCTATTGATCAACGATACTGAAATTTTACCGCATCCAAAAGTAGATGCGATTGCGGCGACTAGACAATTTAAAAAAAAAAAAAAAAGTTTTCATCGTTTATCAACTATTGATCAATGGTGCTGAAATTTCGTTTTGGATGCGACTACGGCGACTGGCAAAATTTTTAAAAAAATATTATTCGAGTAAATTGTTTTGTGACTTACATAAAAAAGCCTAAAATAAATTCAATTTCGCTCAACACCACTTTTCTCATTTGCGGCAACCTCTACTAAGAAATTAATTTGTTGCAAACACCAAATTTGTCATGATTTGTTATTTCACCATTATTTATAGAAATTTACCCCTTTTAAGTGATGTAAAAAATGAAGATTTGGTATCGATGTTCTTATTTAACAATTGTACTTGCATTTGAATACAATATTTACGCTAGGCTCCCAAGTGAAGTTCATGATAGTCAATAAATTCATAGGTTTCAATTTGTCTAACGATGCACTCGTTAAAATATATTTCAAGTGTTATATTTTTAAAAATATAAGATTGATTAAAAAAAGTAAATAAATACAAGAAAATGTAAGCAAGATTAAATAGATAAAATATATAAATATAAGAAAAGATAATAATTATTTGTGTGTGTGTTTATATATGACAAATTAGGTAAATATTCGGTGTGTTAAAAAAACCCTTAATCAAAATCCACAAATCAATTCAAAATATTGATGAACGATTTAAATGTAAGATTACATGAGAAATAGAAAAAAACCAGAAAAGCAGGTGGGAAGGGTGGTGGGATTGTTTGTTTTCCGGCAGCAGATATGGAATTTCGGAGACGTCGAAGCAAATAAAGGTACCTTTCAAATGCATGCAAAAACAATTAGTAAAAGTCTAGCCTTCCTTGTTCAGTTTAAACAAGAATAATGGGCTATTATGCGATGGAAAAACAGTGAGAAATTATAATCTTGTTATCCTTTGTCATTTTATATTAATGGGCCGATGTATAGGTAGGTAACTAGCTTGAATTCGAGGATGTAGGCGAAGGATAGAACTGAGAACATAGTAGTCATATTGCAGTTGCAATCCCTTCAGTACAAAATAATGCTCAGAGTAAAGAATCGGTCATCCTTTTTCTTTTCCGCGTCTAAGAGGATACCATAACCTTGTAGAACAGATGCATTCCCTTTCGATCACTTGCATATATCAGCAGAATGTGGAAAGTAAATGGCCACAATTTTCATGGTTTCATAATCGTGAACAATGCTCTACGGAACTTAATAGTTGCTTTGTGGTTAAATTATAATCAGCAAAACGAAAACAAAAATGTGGATGAAGAAAGATATTAACTAACAAAATGGACCTTGGCATGGGGGTTAAAAGGGGGAAAAGTATAAAACAACAAAACTTCAATGAACTATCCAATTTTTTTCTTGTAAATTGACGAAAACACTGTAAACTTTCCAATTGATCTTTTGACGGCAAAAAGAAGGGAAAAGAGGATGGGAAAAAAAACCTACTTTCCTGGCATCATCAGCTGCATAAAATGTTTCCTAACCTACGATCTTTTCAAGAAGCAACCTTCAAACCATGACAAAGCCAGCTAAAAGGACCTACTGTTGGTGGTTTTTATTGTACTATACTCCAAGCTGCAGACTTCAAAACATAGTCATCCTTTAACTCACCGTATTTAGCTCTCTTTCCAAATAAAGAGATGGAAAAAATGAAGGAACCTTTTTCATCAAAAATGATTTCCCAAAATCCTGAATGTGGGAAATCAACATCTCAAGCTTCATATTCTGAAGCAACAGAGCCAGATTCAGAAGAGGCAGCAACTGAGTTAGAAGAGTGAGATTCAGACAGCATCGTGCATTTTGGCTGAATGCCTCTCCAAACTTTTAAAGATGGCATGAATTTCTGGTACTGCAGAGGGAAATAAAAGAAAGTGAGATTAGAAATTCCTGTCTCATCCTCTTCTAAGCAGGCTCTCATATCCGATAGTACCATTTCATTAGAAAGCAATTCAAACCAGAGATGGACCATCTGCAGTTAAAAAATATATATATTTGACCAGACATTATACTACTCAAATCTTATGTTAAGCCTAACATAATTACAAAAAGAAGAAAGAAATGTGCTCGGTATATTGAAATTTTGCATATAAAGATGGTGTATTCAAATTTTCTTTAAAGAAGAACCCTTCTCAACCATACAGCTTCAGAAATGAGAAAGCTATTAGTAGAAAGTAGATTTGACGAGATGACACCAACTAAAATATCAAGCAATAAAAGATTATCGGTCTGAACTTCTTCAAACTAAAGACAAACCCAAAATTTGTTAGAGCCAATGAAAAGAGGTGATAAAATCTCCAGCAGAAGTTAGTAGGAATGACATACACACTGATAACATGCAGTTCAAGAACAGGTATCAATAAAGTCAAAATGATGGTCGAAAGGAACCAAATAATTCCTGACACACAAATGGAGAGTGGAGGGCTTCTCTTCTCCTGGAAATCTCTCTCCTGTAAGAATCCTATTAGCTAGTAACTTGAAGGTTGAAAGGAACAACTTGGCCGAAATCTTACCTTCTCTGCTGGAGGGTGATGTGATATATGTTTAGGCTTCACAAAGCAAAAGCAGAAATTTCAATGCGACAAAGGTGGAGAAGAAGATAAAACTTGGGCACACTCTACATGGTTCACCTAAGAGTTTTTCTTGCACATTTTACTATCTTTCAAAACCATTTAATGTATAAGTTCGGTCTTGTGTCCAATCCACAATAAATTCCTTCCTAGTTATTTTTCTTATTCCTAACTTTTGGTCAAGCACTGCTCCTTTCTGTTCCTTTCCCTTCAGAGGATAAGAGGTAATACCTCAAGTATCAAATGAAGATGACATATGCTTTCATATCTGACTTCTCACAATTTTGTTTTAGCAAATAGCAGATAGTTTGACCTAGAATGAGTAGTACAGATAGGAATCCTCCTTCAGGTATTATCAGAGGAAGCCTTTAACGCATGATTTTACAATCAACTCAAGTCAACAATTAACTTATCAACCCATTAAAAAAAACATGCAATCATTTCGCATTGTGATATTGGAGCTATTAAAATTGGTGGTATTCTACTTTGCTACCTGGGTTATATTAGCAATCTACCCATTAGAAAAGGAGTAGCAAGTACGAGAATGAATTAGTTTCACTTCTCATTTTGCTAGTATTCATAAGTAATGGATGTTGCACTGGATATTATAGTTATCCTTCACCAGTATTCATAAATAATTATGTAAGGCCGGATACTTGCAAGCTTTTACATGCTCTTAAAAGACTTGTAAGCTAGTACATGCTCTTAAAAGACAATCTTACAACAGTCAAATGGTGATTACTTATACAATGATCATGTCCCCCTCCACTATTTCCAGAACATTTATACCTTATTCATCCAAATTTCATTTCTCAAACTTGCAAATCCCCATCTAGCATACTACACGTACATCTAATTCCTCACAAAGTACATCTAATCTGAAAAGTAAAGAACTGAAGATCAAAATTGAAAATTTCAAAGAAAATAATAAGAAAGGGGATTATTTATAGTCTGGTAGCAAAGGTTCAACAAGAGGATTTATAGATCTGGGTCAAATACCAATAGCTAATGCACTTGATTAGCACATCAGTCACATACACCAATAGACAGATCTTAAGAAACGAGTCTCAATTTGAAATCTAAATGCACAATTCTCAATCAAAAACTTAACAAGCAATTTTAAATGAACAACAAACTCTGAAAAAGAAGTTTTGGCACTGAATCTTACAAAACAAGTTTATGCTGCAAACTTCCAGGACCCAATAGTTGGAGAGTGCAAATTCACAATACAAAATTTAATAAATAAAGTAGAAGAGTTCGGATGCAGTTAACTGGCAAACTACAAATCATGTAGCATACTTGCATTGATTTTTTATTGAACAATTTAAGCTTGAGTATGAGTTCGCTATAAACTGATGCTTTAGGGCAACCAGTTAAGACACATTAAAAGTTTGTACAATTAGTCAGTCGTTACAAAACACAGACCAAAAAGCTTTACCACTTGGTTTGTCGACTATAAAGTACCCTAAAGTTGATTCCCCTTTGTGGCTTTCATGTACAATCAGGTTCATTCAGACTGAATCGTAATCCTTAATATCAATCTCAGCATTAGGCCACATCAGAAAAGCTGGAACAGATAAGAATCAGAAGGTGTGTGTCTAAGTTTAAAATCTTCATTTAATAGTTTGGCAGCAAAACTCAGTGCAATACACAGTCAGTACTTAGTGCTATTACTACAATAGACCAACGTTTAAATGGTTGATACAGATGCAGTTTAACCATATTTAGCTACCTTGAAAGCTCTAAAGAATCTAATAAAACTGGAACAGTGGAGCAAGAGGCCGATACAGTGAAATGGAATGGTAGAAAAGATGACATTTCACCGTGCTGTCATCATTTGCTAAAAGGAAAGGTAAGTTTCCTTCTCAGCAGATATAGAGTACATATGTGCCAAGATCAAGTTCTGCTTAAGGATAAGTTGAGGAAGAGGAATCGATATAGGATACTAGTTGCTTTCTTTGCCAGGAAAATGAAGAAGCAACAAGACTCCTACTCTTGCACAGCCCATTAGCAGCAAGGCCATCGTCAATTTCGTTCACTACTCACAACAGAGATTAGAAACCAACAGAATGAATAACAAGTCCAATCTCAGTCTTCATACACCCTTTACTCTTGGATAAATGCCCAGTATTCAACTAGTGGTCCGTCTTTTGCCCATTCTTTATAGGGGTTGCTCATCAAGATAACTACTTGTTTCTTTTGGGTTTCACTCCACTGGTGCCTCTCAGTAAAACCAATACCTTTTCCCCCCAAAAAAAAAAAAATTTAATAAAACCAAATTAGACTCAATACCTTTACCCTAAGACCTGGAGTACATATATTAGAATTGTAATTCAATTTGAATCTACGACACTTTCGATCAATATAAACCATTACTGCATCTAATCATTTAATTATCATTGCTATTAAATACATCCAATTTAACAATGATACATCTAAATATAGCATATAGTTAGTTTCACTAGAAGCACAATAACAGATATTATCCACTTATGCGGCCTACAGTAAAACCATTGTAATTGTTCATCAATCAATAATAAACTTCTTGATGTAGTCAACAAAGGGCTCAAGGAAATCTAAGATTAAAGATTTTAATGATTTTCCTCAAGATTCAACTAAGCATCCCATGTAGATTAGAAGCCTAATTGGGAGAAAAGAATGGGTCAGCTAAATATCTTTATTTAAGTTCATCATAGTTTTGCACCATGAGATATATTTTCTAGAATTTTAGGTCTTACGGGATAATTTGGTCCTTTATTTGATAGCAGGAAAATTTTCATAATGGTGAAGTAATGTCTTATCTAGTTGTTTATTACAGAAGGTAACAGATTGAAGTCTAGCTGATAAGGGAGTTCCACAACTAATTTGTTTTTCCTACTTGCTAAAGGAAATAGGAGCTCTAAATCTTTCAGGAAAGTTAATAGCCTATAAAACACTTATGTCCGTACATTGTTTTGTGCAGAGATTGATGAATAATGAGGGACATTTTCTTTAGAAGCAGCCTTAAGATCCTCTCGTGCTTCTGCTGGTATTAGCACCTCTATCTTGTCCGACTTCACTACTATATCTCTTTGAAAGAAATATGAGGGTTTTGATAGGTCTATTGAGAGGAAGCGTAAAAGAGAAGGTTAAGAAAACTGTTACCAGATTTTCATCAAAGAGAAGATTACTCTCCTAAAGAAGAGAAAGGGAGCACACTTAATTTTGGAAAGGACATTGTACAGAAGTGAACTTTTTAACTTTGTCTAAACAAACCAAAGATTGGAATGAAAAGACTAAACATCCAAAACTTAGTATATGCTGAGTAATCTTATTCGATTATAAGGCATACATACACCCTGCACTATTGTTTTCTAAAGTACATATAAACAGATAAGACATATACAGCCAAATTCAAATTTACCAGCATGTATAAAGAACATCCAACTAGTATCTTGGTCTCAATTAAAGAAATGGAAAATGCAGCTATACCCATGAAATATGTTGTGCTCAATTTCCTTTTATTTAAAAGTCAAGGAAGAAGATGATTATAAATCATTTCTTTTCCAGCAAATCAAACCTGAAAATTGGGACATTATCTTGGAAATAGAAGCAAAGTTACCTCCTCATAAAAGGCAACGATCTCCTCGTCTGTAATTTCCACATCTTCCCCATTTTCCTCCCACCCAAGTGAACGAAGGAATGCAGCCTCTTCTTCATCTGGATAGAGTGCTCCATTAAGATACAAATTTCTCTCTCCAGCATCCACAAAACTTTGCGCCTGATCACCAGAGCTGTGACTATCACCGTCAGTGATCATCTGACTCCCATTCTCATTAACAAGAGGACTTATTGGAGCACTATTAGCTTCTGTACTATTTTCCTCAGACTTAACAGCACAAGGAGATGAAATGACAGAAACTGAATCCGAGATGGTAGAAGAAGTATTACGCAAGGTCTTCTTCCTCATGAGGTTAAAAAAATCACTCCTACTCTGTGCTTGAGACAAGGAAAATTTCTTCTCTGCGGTAGGTCTCGAATTCAGAGACAATGCAGCTGCCTTCTTGTCAAGAGTGGAAGCCTTTGGATTAGTAGGGCTTGTCAGAGCAATTGGAGTTATTGCAGATAGTGGAATCTGGCTTACTGCCACCTTTCTAATGGAATTGTTAGTTGGACTAGAAGCGTCCTTAGCATTAGAGTTGGCACCATTCTCCTTTGCAGCCTTCAGAACCAGAAACTTTCCAGCATGAGAGGCATTTGAAGCATCAGACCTGACTTGGCCAGCACGAGATTGATTAGGAAGTTGAGGTGAATAGATTGGTTGCTGCTGCTGTTGCTGCATATTCCTAGGAGTAACGACCATCTCATTTACTCTCGCTGCAGCTTTTGGTTGCTTTGATTTGTCTGAAGAACTGGAAACCTGGAAAGAAGAGTGTTACCAATGAGAACTTCATATAAAATTTATAAATTCAAATCTTCCAGGAGGTAACTCTTCATAAGATACATAAATGACTACTGAAAGAGCCAGGAATCATAGAACGAGTCATTTCCAATATCCTTCCAACAGAGAGAGTTTGCGTATCATCTTTAAGAGGACACAAATTATTATCCATATTTCTGAATTTTAAGCAAAACCAGCCTAAAACAGATGAACATTTCTGAAGATGACTGCCTAATTTTTTTTTTTTTATAAAAAAAGACATGTCTAGAAAAAATAAATAGAATCACAGTTTAAAAAAGATTCATGCTCCACTAGTCAAATTATGGTCAAAATTTGTGGGTATTATAATTCCAACAGTGTACAAAGGTAATACATTTCCAACATTGCACAGCAACCTAATAACACAAAAATCGGGCACAGGTTCAGAATTAACAAGGAATAGCATTGATGAGGAGGAACCACCAACTAATGACTCGAATCAACTCATGACCACCACACAGTTATCTGCTAGAAGGTAGACCGATTATTAAACACCCCGCAGACCTTTACTCGAAAAATAGCCTAAAGTATCACTACAAACGAGTAGGAAAAAGTATATCTTACCAAGGCTTTGGGCATCGATGGTGTCATAGGAATTAGTTGCCGAGACTGCTTTATGGCTAATTCTTCTAACCTCTGTGTCTTATCAGGTACCTGCAAAATGAATTGAGAAATGTATGAAACTATGCGCATCAAAGAGTTAAATTAATAAGTTAAAACTAAGGGCATAATTACTTGGGGAGTGAGGCGTGCACGCGGTGGAGCCTGTGATAACGCCTCAGCCATGTTAAGGCCAGCCATTGCAGTTGAAGAAGCAGACGGAGTTGCAATAGCACTTTGCTGAGCACTTAAGTTCCCAATGCTGTTGCTGCCAATTACAGAGGGCACCTCCGCCAAGGCAGAAGTCCATTTCTCACCACCAAGCAACCCTGAGTTAACTACAGGAAGACTCTGAACAGCTGTACTAAGAGCAGGTGAAGATAGCCTCCCAATACTAGATCCTCCCTGCTTTTCTTCATTTCCAAGAGAAGGAAAATCCTTTTCGAATGCAACCTTATGGACACCGCTTATATTACTTCCCCCCAAATGACTGCCATTTGCAATATACTGATTAAGGTTCACGCCATTTTTCAATTCCTCTGACTTACGGGGTAACAATTCAACTGTTCTCCTGGACACTAATGACTGAGAGCGTCTCAAGGAACTCTTTTCAACACTTGTTAAAATACTCTCCAAAGGATCAGAAGAATCTCGATCCCAGAAATCCCCAACAGTGGACCTGTCTTTATCTTTTTCACGGTTTCTATCCCGGTGACTTCTATTAAAACTGCTGTATGGATGCTTTGCAGAACCATTATTTCCTGAACTACGCCTACAATTAGATGAATGATTACGTTCCAGAAAAGGAGACCGCTGACTATCCTTATCACTGTTGCTTCTAGAACATCTATTCCATGCTGAGGACGAAGAAACATCTATAACAGCAAACAAAAAACGTAATGCATCCTCAGAAATCATGAGGGGGGTGGGGAGCACAACAAACACAAGGTGAGGTAAACTTGAACTGTGCAGTGCATAAACAGTTGATAAACTAAGATTACCTGAGTGCAAAGAAGAAGATGAAAAATGGTGGCTTGAAGGGCTGCCACCACCAACATTTCCTGTACATCTCAACCATTCTGGAACTAATGCAGGTTCACTTCTTTCCATCAGTTCTGACCATATTCAGAATGAAAATAAACTATGTAGGCAATAAACTATAGTCTCCCAACACTGTTTTCTCCACCAAACTTTTGTCCGAAAAGAAATTCCTATATCACCTTCTATGCACCGAAAGGAAACCTACACGTTAACAGAAAACCAGAAAACCTCTAATCCAAAACCACGCCCAGCTTTCTCAATAAGCATCCAGTAACACAGCAAACCAATCTACCATCCCCAATTAGCTCCCTTATAATGTTTTACTCTCTCTCTCTCTCTCTCATCCAATAACAGTAGAAAATAACAATCCCCGCAATGGCAGGCGCTTCTATCAACCTCAACCTCTATGCAATTCTCAGAATCCTCCAGTAACAAAACCAAAATGGGGTATCATCCAGTTTCTACCAAAAGCAAAGTGGCATTGAATCAACTTTAAAAATTTTCCCCTAGCTCTCCATCTTTCAACAAAAAAAAGATGGATTCCCCAATCCCGCAACCCACCTTTCAACCCTCCATGTCCTTGCCACGCAACAACCGGAACAAGGAAAAACCGGACAGAGAGATAAACAAGAAAAACCACAAAATAACAGTCAAGCAGTCCCTCTAAACACCAAAATCCCAAACCACAACCAAAAGCGCAATCAACAAAGTTGGAGCAATTGCCCCAAAAACCCTAGAAAAACACGAGTCGCCTCAACAATTAGGGTTTGTAGAATCAAACGCCGCAAGCCGAACCAGTATTACCAAGAAAAAAAAGGAGCAATATGTAAATGTAACCGCAATTTGTATATAGGGCCAGAAACGATTGAAAATTGAGACTTCAGAATTGAAACCTAATCTCAGAAAAAAGGAAATTGGTGCTAATTTGATTTTGGACGAGAAGATACAGGCAGTTACCCTAAAAAGCGATCCCGAAAACAGAAACAAAAGAACCCTAACCACTTCTGATAACCGCCAAGCTCTCTATATATAAAAACAAAATAATGTATATTTATATATATATTGTGATATATTTTGTGCGTGTATGTAGTTTGGGGGCAGAGAGGGCAATGCAATTGTCTACAGAGATGAATATAGGGGAGAGAGGGAATGGTTTCTTCTTAAATACTATATATGATTTATGAATTTTGCTAGGAGTAACAGGGCAGAAAATAGAAAGGTTTGGTTTTGCAGGAAGAGGGGCAACGGGGGGCAGTGATAAGGGCTAGAGAAGAAACTTGCATAACTATTTTTCCGTCCCACTTTGGCCCTTGATTTTTCGGGTAGCGATATTTGTCCTCTTTGATTTTGTGTTTTAGATGTACTTCAATTGGCTAGGTGTCCTTTCGTTAATTCAACCAAATTGGCATTGCTATCACGACCATGACGACTTTAGCCCATATTTGATAATTTCATTCAGCACTTAGGGTGTGTTTAATAAAATTAAAATTTAAAATATAAAGTTTGAAATATGAATCTATTAAGTTTTAGGTCTTGTTTGATAATTTAATTTAATACTTAAATTTAATAGATTCAAATTTTAACATATTTAGACTATTTGATAACAAAAAATTGAACATCTGAATTAATTAAGTGGCACTGAATTTCTTAGGCAAACTTATCTCAAAATTAAGTGATAACCTATTCACTTATCATTGAATGTAATATGTACTCAAATGTATTAAATTTAATACTTAACAATTCAATAATTTAATGGATTCAAATTTCAGATTTTAGATTTCAAACTTCAGTTTTATCAAACGCACCCTTACTTTTAATTGTTTAGTACTAAATCCCATACATTTAAACGTATATTATATTAAGTGATAAGCAAATAGTTTATAATTTATTTTTAAGATCAAGTTTTGCTTAGAAAATTTAGTATCACTAATTAATTTAGATGTTCTATTTTTTTTTTATCAAACACATCTGAACATTTCAGATCTAAATTTATTAAATTTAAGTGCTAAATTGGGTTATTAAACAAATTTAATAGATTTATATCTTAATATATTTAGATGCATTTGATAACCAAAAATATAACATTTGAATTAATTAAGTGATACTGAATTTCATAAACAAAACTTGCTCCCAAAATTAAGGCCCCATTTGACAACTTAGTTTAACACTTAAATTTAATAGATTCAGATCTTAATATATTCAGACGCGTTTGATAAACAAAAATAGAATATCTGAATTAATTAAGTGATAAGCGTGATATACACTCGAATGTATCAGATTTAGTACTTAACAATTCAATGACTTAATGAATTTAAATTTCAAATTTCAAATTTCAGACTTCAGTTTTATCAAACGCACCCTAAGTGATAAACTATTCACTTATCACTTGAGGTGTATTTGATAAAATAAAGTTTGAAAACTAAAATCTGGAATTTGAAATCTAAAATATAAATCCATTAAATTACCAAATTGTTAAATATTAAATTTAATACATTTGATTGTACATCACGTTAAGTGATAGGTGAATAACTTATAACTTATTTTTTAAAGCAAATTTTGTTTTGGGAATTCAGTACTACTTAATTAATTTAGATGTTATAATTTTAGTTATTAAATGTATCTGAATATGTTAAAATCTGAACCCATTAAGTTTAAGTATTAAATTCGACTATCAAGTAGGATTTTAATGTGATATACACTCAAATATATCAAATTTAGTACTTGACAATTCATAACTTAATGTATTCAAATTTCAGTTTTATCAAATGCACCTGTAGTTGGATTTACACTACCATGCCCATTTGTTATTGAAGAGTTAATAGAGAAAAACAAGTGTATTTACTATGCTGCTATTATGAAGTTATTGATGTTGACCACAACCTGTAGTGATAGCAAATGTATGTTCTTCTCCTTTTGTTTTTCTTTTATTTAAGATCTTTACTGATGAAAATACTCAAGGGCATGTTAGTTTAAGTGTGTTCGACTTGAGAGGCAAGTGTAAAATATTACGGGAAGATAGAATGGCGTGAGATAAAAATATGATTGTAAAGATAAAAAAAAATGTATTCGAAAATGTGTTTGTGATGTAAGCAAATAATTTTTTGCACAAATAAGTGTCATCTAAACACACACACGAATTCTTTTCAAATTATTCCAAAATTAACAAATACCTTATTCATGATAACAGTAAGACTAGTCAATTAAATAGCTCCTGTAGTTGAACTATTAATTCAGGAATAGAGGAAGGAAATTTCAACCTAGATTGAAACTCCATCTTGAATATTTTAGAGTATTATGCCAATTAAATTACACAATCTTGTATAGAAATAAATATGCTATAATTAAAAATACCTTGAGGTTTTTCTCCTTATTAAGAATAATCATATAATCAGAAAAATACTATATGTTCTAACTCGTCAAGTATTTTTATGTCTTTTTTCAGGGATGATACTCATGAAATTTTATATTTTTAAGGAATAATGGTAAACAACTCTAACTCCTCTTATCCTACCATCAAATCAAAGTTTGAAGAAGTTAATACTCGAGATTAAGTTATCAAGGTCTTGATTCATAGTTTTAGGTCAAGTTCTCAAAGTCCTTTGGATAGGAATAAAGTTTGAGATCAAAGCTATCAAATCATCAAATTAAGGTTTAAAGAAAAGAAAGTATATTGCAAGGGCAATTTTGACCTAATTGAAATCCTTCATGGAGTTGTTATTCTAAGTAATTGCATGCTTTCAAACAAATATATATATATATATCTTAATAATTATATTTTAATTAACAAAAAAATTGAAGATAAAATATTGTAGGTTTCCAATTTCTAATGTAACTTTTTTTCTTGAGGGATAGTATTTTGATACTTTAATCCATACGTACTTTTATCTTTAATGATGAATTATTCCTTATATAGTTGTACCTAAACAAGTGAAAAAAATAATATAGAAGTAGTTCAATCATTACACACTTTATACCCATTTGATTTTCACTCTCAAAGGCCAATGTCAATCACACTATCAAAAGCTTCTCAATCAGAATATATTTATGCATTTTTTCTTTTTAGCTAGCTTTTGGAAGCAATGGGAACCATTATCAATACTCTTGTTTGGTTCATGCAAACTCATCAATTGGGAATGGAAGCCCAATTAAATAGCTTTTTTTTTTGAAAATAAAATAAAAAAGGCTGTGTTTAACAAAAATAAAATAAAATCTAGAAATTAAGATAAATATTGCATATACTAATATATCAACTCCAATCATAATAAAGTCTTTATACCATGAAAAAACCTTTCAACTAAAACAAGTTCAAATTCTAGTAGAGAAGGTCTGAATACTTTACAAGTTTAGAAAGTTACAGGATTTCGAATCCCTTTAAATGCATAGTTAACGAGGCCTAACATCTAACTTGCAAATCTACAAAGTTGTATACGTCATGCTCTCATGCTCGAGACATGATATTTTTGTGCCCCATAGATAGTCACAAGAACACAAAGTAAAAGAATATGAAAAAAAAAGTCATAAAATTGCCAATCAATATTAATCATAATCGAAGAGATACCATCATAATTAGCAATATAAGACAATTAACACATATCCAAGAATTTAACCAATATGAAATTGTAAACATCAATATCGATAACCTATAAGCCTAGAAAATACTAAAGAATCAATACATGAGACATAATAGACAAAAGCATATCAAATTTCTCAATCCTTCTTCAATTCTGAAATTTTTTATAGCTGTGTTGGTGCTGGCTGGTTCATGATAGGTTGGGGATCCTTCTTTAACCTTAACAGCTCTAAAGATTGTCATAATCATCCTCATGGAAGCTATCATCTTCTGCAAAATGTTAGCAAATGGTATGTGTTAGGTTCATGAGTAAAAGATTAGATCTAACATTGATTCAAGAAATGGAAAAAGAGTACTAAATATATATGAGACCAAACAACTTAAGTTTTTGGGTTAGAGTTGAGTTCCTGGTTTATATATTGGACTCTTTGATGGGCTCTCATGGGTTCTTGGATTCCAACAAACTGGTATCAAAGCGAGATTTCATGGTTGGATCCTAGTTGACTATTAAGATCAAGTGGATTGGTGGTTTTTACTAATTAAATAATTTAATAGATAATATCCTTATTTCAAAGGCTTGACAAGAAGCATTTATGGTAAAGGATGGAAAGCCAAAAGGCATGGAAA